GACTGGCCTCAGCAGCTATTGCTTTGGAAACAGCTGAGGAAAAACCAAAAAGACATTAATAAAGATTTTACACAGCCTTCTGATGGTGCCCCAGCAGTAGCTTGATCTTATTCCCAATATTTTGGGTGAGAGAGCTATTTTAAGTTAATTTGCATTGTGAAGCATTGGTGATGCTCTGATGAAGGAGACCTCGCACAGCGGTGCGCAGGGCAAGCCAAAAAAACAAAGGCATGTATTTCAGATTTGAGGTAGGAATTATATACACTTAGAGTCATGAACTCTGGGTAATAATTGAAAGGTCAGATTGATGAGAGCAGCCTCCGAGATACGATTTCTATGACAGCTTGATGGATGCCCCACTATCAAGGTGTGCTTTTAATCATAATCTCATTACTCTACTTCTTATGGTTCGACTCACCTAAACTCATGGGAGGAATCAGGGGCCACCTCTAAAATGTGAATCGGCTTTTATTTGGAGGAAGAACAGTTGAATGGTTGGGAGAACAAAAAGGAAAGCAGGAGAGCCAAAAAAAAAAAAAAAAGACTTTCTTGCCTGAGATATGAGTCAAGAGCAGTCATGAGAACAACACTCTCACTGCTCTAAAGCCATACTTTGAATAGCTCTCTGCTGGTTAGAAATAGGACAAATACAGGTGATCTGAAGCAAGGAAAGGAAGACTTGATCCTCTGGTAGTGTGCGTTGTCATTGAGAATCTTACTGCATTGCTATCTCATTAATCTGGGAATGGGGACCTCTGAACAGCTCTCCCCAGGCAGGAGTTTGGGGAGAGATTCAATGCTAGCTCTTCATAAGCTCTGATTTCATCATCCGAAACTCATGCTGAGGTTTCCCAGTCATCAGCAATCATAAAATACTTATTCATCAAGGGAGAGCGGCAGCTCTGTTTTCCTGCTAGCACTGGGTTGGAGAAGATGGGAGAATGTTTTGAGTGCAAGGGAGGAGAGAAGATGAAGCTTGGCTGTTCCCACCTGGAACCCCATGGTAGGTGCTGAGGGAGACACCACCTCTTCTCTTTGAAGTACACACTGAGAGTCCTCTGTGCTCTGAGACCTCCTACAACCCAACTCTCATGTGGCCGTGTGGACTTGCATCATGAACCATGTTACCCTTCACCTTCTCTGATGGCGTACATRGCTGTTTTGGCTTCTCAGTATGCTCCGAAAAAGCATCCTAGGAGAACGTGGGGCATCCGTGCAGGGTCTTGATGGTGATCCAAGGTGAGGCCTTGTCTGTGGGAGGCCACAGCCTTCCCCACTGCCTGTCATGGGCCCCACGGCCTCTCAACCAGTTCTGCAGTTCATCCTTGCCTCCGTTGAACCTCCTGGAAGAGTTAGTATGGAAATTTCAACCTATTTTTAAGGGTTATTTTCACTCAAGTGAAATCTATCAAAGGAGGAGGGTTATTTTTACAGCGCGCAGCAACTGCCGGTTGCCATGGCAGCGGGCTGGGTGAAATGCAATAAAGCATCCCTCTGTTATCGTAAACACAAAGGGAACCACTGGCACCGCAAAGAAAGGCAATTGTTCCGGCGGGGAGGAAGACAAACACCGCGGCCTGCCTGCCAAGCTCCAGCCCCCGGCTCGCCTCGGGAAGCCACGTCCGGGGAGAGTTCACAGGCTCCTCTGTGTCCGCTTGGGATCCRGGCGGCAAAGAGGAGTGTGCCTCTCTGAGCGCCTCGTGGCGTGTGTTGAGGGCACCAGTGCGTCAGCCCAAGCTGAACTATTCCCTCCTGTTTGCAGGAACTGGCAAGAAGTTTAGAAAATSCGTCTCCTGAAGAAAAAGTTGGGTGGGGGTGTGTAAAATCCTACGTAGCTTTGATCTGACATCCATGTCAGGAAGAAGACCCCATTAGATGCAGGATGTCTTTAAGTTCTTGCAAGTGGTACAATGTTTTTTTTTGTTTTTTTTTTCCCCCCTCACGTGCTTTGGTTTTGGTGAGCACAGACATGAGCAGCTCCTTGAGACGCGAAGCACTTGAGCTGGAACCCGCACCAGCACTTTTTCTTTACATGTTGTAGCTGGCTMTGCACAGGGACCCCTGGGCATGGGCCATCTTCCAGCTGCACTGGGGACACCCCTGGAAAATGCACCACCTCTTGAGGTACACTCTTTATCCCTGAACTCTGAGCTGAGGTCTTTAGTGCAGCCATTGGACTATGTGAGCCATGGGACTACCTCCCATTGCTCTTCCTTGTGGAGTTGTAGGTAGTGCCAAGGTGGGATGTCTGTGTTCACAAGGGCTTGTGAGGCACAGGGAGGCYGGGCATAGCTACCTGTTCGTGCCGAGGCACTTCCTAACTACCGTGTGGGTATTTTCAACTTCATCTATGACAGTAACATGGATGGAGAGCAAGCAGGCAGAGGACTTGGCTGCTGTGCTGTACAGAAATCTTTTCTAGGAAATGCGTTTTCCTGTAAGTTCTGGGCATTCAGAGCATTTTTGATTAAAAGTATCTTAAACTGGGTACCAAATAACAGAGCACCCACACTGCCTTGCCATTTACCCTAGAGATGCCACTGAGGTACTGGGATTATTGCTTAGCCCTGTCATTGGACAAATCCAGTGGTTTTTAATTTCAAGAAGGTCTTCCAGGGCAAAAAAAAAAAAAAAAAAAAAAAAAAAAAATCCCAGGAGGCACAAGCTTGGTAGGTTAAAGCAAGTGCAGAAGAAAAACAGAAAGTCTTTTCGTCCTTTCCATGAAGAAACTGAATTATTCCTAGCCTACTGTTGCAAAACAAACAGTCTGAATATACCATCTCCCAAACCAGCCTAAGATCATTCCTACCCCAATAGCATTGCAAGACCAGATCCTCAGAGGTACCAAAGTGGGGCGGGTGTCCTCTTGGCACTGAATGCCAGGGAGACAGGTAGATATGAGATTCCCCATATCAACCAAAAATCATCTCCCGTCTTAAGATGGGAAGTCTCTCTCTGGGGCTGACCAAACTGAGATTCTGCTGTATGGTTCCAGGGCTGTGGTTTTTAGAGAGCAACTGGAGTATTTTTGTCCTGCTTCCCATCGTGAGACATACAGAGGGAGAAGAAACAAAGGCAAAAATTGCTGTGCAGCAGCATGTGTATAAATAGATCCCTGAGAGGGTGAGACCAGCAGGAGGAATGAGATCAAGATGATTTCTATTTCCAAAAGAACAGTTGTGAAACCATTTACCTCCATGGTCTAACACTCTAGTGTSGCTGCTCCCAGTACCCCATGCTCATTTATCTCAGGAAAAATAAAGTGTAAAGCCTCTGCTACTTGTCATATGAAAGGAGTTTGCTCCATTTATTTTTAAAGGTTAATTTTATTTATTTTTAATAGTACAGAAAAAAAATATGATAATGCTGAGGTAGAGATGCAGGTTATCTGAAAAAAGTTTTTCATAATTGGCTTTATACTGGACTAGTAAGAAGTCAGTAACCAGCATGTGTGGCAACCTTGGCCTCCCTTTAAGGAAGGGGATGGGGGCATTTTGAGCAAGACCTTCTCTAAAACGAAGTCAAAGAGCCCTCTCTCAAGCAGCTTGGGGTCCTAGCTCTCCTGCTGCTGTGTGCCAGCAGAGTGCTAGATGATCTCTTTGAGATTAAACTTAATTCACAACTCTTTAACCTAAGGTTCTCGTTCATAAGTGTTTCATTATTAAGGGGTGAGTACCTGGCAGCTTCATTCTTTAATAGCGTATATAGTATGTTACACTTTGCAATGCATTAGCAATAAATGCTTAATGGACGAGGCTATATCAAGCTGTTAGATAGAAAGCCTATTATAAAATGTGGGCTCCCACTAAAACAATGCGTGCGTCTGTTTAACACCTGATGTTAACTCAGAAAGTGTGTTAGAAAGAGCAGCTCTTTGGAAGAGAGAAAATAAGGAGCACTTTATGTATTAAAGTGTCACCAAAATTTCCTCGCTTGTTTAAAGCAATTTTGAGAAAATGTTGTCTAAAAGGGAGCTGGCTGAGATGGGAAGTCTGGAATAATCCCCAGAGAGCTGGTGGGTACCGGGGCTGAGAGAATGATGTGMAGCAAGGCTCGATCGAGCCCCCTGGGCCAGCATGAGGGTGAGCTGCTTTTAAGGTTGGAGTTAGACTCCTAGAAACACTGCTTGGAAGGGGTCCCTGGAGGTCTCTGGTCCAACCTCTCCTTCAAAGCGAACTGCTAGATAAGGTTGGCCATTGCTTTCTCCAGCTGAGTATTAAAAACTTCCATGGATTTGGAGTTCACAGGCACTCAGGCCAACCTGTTCCAGTGTTGTGTCAGCTGCCCGGTGTGAAACATACCCACCTAAACCTCCAGGCCCCTGTGAGGAGATCGGCTTAGTTGAGCTGCCTTGGACGATAAGACCCCAAACTTTCTAGGCATTTCAGCAAAACCCCAAGCTGCCATTTGCAGAAGTTGGATGCATCTGACCCTACCTGAGCTACATGTTCAACAGCCCCATCCACCAGTGAAGTTCAGCCCTTCCTATGCACGGTGTGGTTGCCCTAAGCCCAACTCCATTGGGCTGGGAACATGAAGATGGCAGGATACAGGTTTGTGCATTTTGGGGCATATAACCTACCMATAATTTCTGATTCCAGGTGATTCATGTTCCACCCTGCAAAACCTGAGATGACTTTGGCACCAGTATAACTGGGCAGGGCTCCTTTGATTGCCAAGGAGGACCTGCTGTTCCCCACCATGGCTGCTCAGTCCTGACCCTTCTGCCTTATTCCAGTGCTTCAGCAGTTAAAAGGAAAATGGTGTTTCAGAAGACTAGRATTAAGTTATTAAAGCATCTGGACACTTTTAAGAGGATTGCTGAGTGTCGTAGTACTCAAGATTGACTTGAGAATTTGGGGGTGGATTTGCAGCTGGAAGAAATTCCTCATGTACTGTATACCTGCCCCCTGTGTATATGTTAGCATACTTGGCACAGATGTCTCTTTGTTTCTGTACAGGAAACTAATTGCCTTTCTTGTTTCAGTCTGAAGTTTTCCTGTGTCATTCTGTAAATAATGAGAGGCATTTCTCAAAGTTTGCCAGCCGCCTTTGTCTCTCCTGATGGCACTTCAGCTGCTTGCCCTGCCCTAGGAAGATCATCCCCTCGCTGGAAACCTGGTGCCATCTCTGCACGGTCTGCTCCAGCCCTGAAGCCTGGCAGCTGGGAAGCATCCTGCATGGCAGCGGGGAAAGAAGCGGGAAGGAGCAGATTTTATGTGAGTGCAATACTCTTTGTCTTCCAGCTCCCACACCTCTCCCACTTGTTATGTGATTTCCAGTGCTGGATGCTCGGGCATCCTGAGCCTGTTCAACCCAGCAGAGCCCTGTGGAGGTTTTGGCTTGGGCTTTTATTACCTGTCCTTCTCTCTCATCCCCTGCTTGCTTTTGGGCAAGAGGAAGCAGGGACGCGGGGAGGGGGGATGCGGTAACTTTGGTCCTGTCACATCTGTTGCAGGGGGGACGGTGCCGCCTGCCATGAGCCGGTGTCATTAGCAGGGGCCTGGGAGGTTGCTGTCAGTCAGGATTTCCCGGGCGCCTCCCAGGAGGTGACAGGAGGTGACAACAGCCCGGCCCTCGCTGCGGAGGCAGCCGTCCGCCTCGCGCTGGACGGAGGCTCGCTGAGTGTTGAGGCCCTTCCCAGCCTCTCGTCACGGCTGCCCGTCGCTCCCATGGGTCCCTCTCCCGCCGCTTCGGAGCAGGGAAGCGGCGGCAATGTCCCTGCCTTGGCGTCCAACGCTCGCTGTGTCCGACGTGTCACGGTTTGCTCTGACACCAGCCCCAGCGTAGGATCGGTAGTGCAGAGCTGCTGCCATCAGACTGTGTTTCCTGCTGGATTTGGTGGCAGGATGGCCTTTAATTTGGGAAGGGATRTGTGTGTTCCCACCAAGTGTGGTTGGAGTAAGAAATGAGTTAGTGCCARGAGCTTATGTTTGATCTGTGTGACAGCAGCAGAAGCAGTACTGGGTGCTCCTGAGTGCACATTGGTGTAGCCCAGCCCTGCTTGTCGTTCCCTCAGTGGCTCTTGTTCCTCTGTTAGTTTTSTCTAATTCTGCCACTCCCCAGGCCCTTTCTGTATCTTCTGTAGCTCTTGCCTGAGTGTGGTCTGTGTATTTCAGAAGCAATTGCAATAGTGCTGAAAGCCCCTTTTGGCGCTGAGGCTGCTCGGGGAGGTGGGGGACGTTGTCTCCTCCACTGGCTGCACTTGGACCATATTTGTCGTTCCACCACTCCTGGGAGGCGGCGCATGATCCCTGTCTTGTGTTCACATGGAGCTGCTTGCTCYGGATCAGCTGGGTGCAGGGTGTCAAGAGTGACGTGTCCCACTGACAGCACATCTGCTATTACTAGGACGTGTTTTGTTTGTCATGCTGCTGTATTCTCAGTAACTGCAACTTTACCTTGAGTTTTATACCCAAGCCCTTGCAATTGGGGACTTAAACAGTTATTTTGACTTTGAACCTGAGCATCAAGAAAAAGGATCAAGCTTTTCCTGTTTCTTGCTCTTTTTGTCCATGCTTTTTGTCTTGTTGCCACACTTCTCTGTAGCCAACACTGCAGGCTGAAGCTAACTTAGTCCCAGCACGTGGGATTGCTGTCAATGGCTTAGGATTGGTGAGAAGCCTCATGAACTTTATCTGTGGAGCCCAGCAGAGCCTGAGCTGCCACTGCTGCTGCTTGGCAGGGATGTTTTCCCTGTCCTTTTCCCACCAGCAGAGACCCATTCTCCTGTGAGGCCTCCTAGCATCTGGAGTGCTCCCCATGCTCAGGCAGCTTCCATGAGGCAGCTCCACGAGCGAGAGCAGCCGACAAATGGTGCATTTAAAAGTGCAAATCTTAGAGCTTTTGGGGTCCCAGGAGTCTACCAAAACCCTGCTGATGCATCTGCTCTGCTGAAAAAATTTGGCTCCTGCCATCACAGCAGACATTTCCCACCTCCCTGAGCGAGYGGAAACGCTACCTTTGCAAACTGGGTTGCCTCTCCTTGGGGCTGCAGCTGTCACGGCTCAGCTCCCCTCCTCGTGCCTGGCTCTCCGCCTGCAGGATTCAGGTGCTTCTGGAGCCAAGCAATCCCCACTGTGGACACCTCTGTTCTGCTGCCCTCCTGGCAGCTTCCATGGCACCAGCTCTAGCAACAGCAGAGGTGGGAGAGCAGAGCAGGTCCCTGCAGCCTGGCAAGCTGGTGTGGCTCCCCAACTGGCTCTGCCTGTCAGGATTCCCACTTTGCCCTATGGTCCCTCCTTGCCCTTACCCTCTCTGTGGCACAGACTCGCACAGTCAGTTCCTCATCACCTTCTATTTGTCACATATTACTTAATTATCTTTTACCATATTCCCTACAGAATGCTATTATTTGGCCAACACAAAATAACRCAGGAAAGCAGCACACTGTTAGATCTTTGGCTGTCTTTGGTCTTTACTGCCCTAAGCTGATATCCACGAAAGCCCTGGCACCTCCATAGAAAATATAGCATTGCCCTGSTATTTTGTGGCAGCTGCTGGTTCCTGATGGAGTTTAAACCCTTAAAGCATAATCTTGAGGCCTGGTCTTACTGTTTGCATTCCCAGTCTTCTGCAGGAGCCCTTCTCCTGCATKCCTGGTCTGTACGAGCCCTGACCTGAGCTCTCCAAAGGGCACACCACCATTAYGGCCAGCAAGGAGGTCGGGGACAACACTGAGACATCTACTAGTATGATAACTTATTACAAAAAAGCTGCGCTGAATAGGAAAGCTGACACACCTAAGGCCTTTGAGGCCTTTATAGGAACTCCTCTTAATCCTGACTTCAATTGCCAAGGTGCCAYGAGCAACAAGCAACCGCCTGAAGTCCAGTGTTGCCTTTCTCCTGCTGGGTGGCTTCCACGTGTAAGGTAAGGGATGTCTGCAGGCAGCAGCTGGCCTGCAGTTCATTTGCAGGCTGCACCTGTGAGGAGGATCTGCCTGGAGATCAGCCCTTGTACCATGGGGTGATAGGARGCACTTGTCCTTCTGACAGAAAATGTGATCCCTTAATGAGATCCAAAGGTAGGAATGGCCAGTCTGGATAAACTGGCCCACAGACCAAAAAAATTAAATATCTAGTGAAGCTAGGAAATTAATGAACAGCTTTAGTAGTAACTGAGTTGTTATACTTGCGTCCTTTCCTTTGCCCAAGCAAAGCAGAAGAAAGCAGAAGTGGTTTCAGTAACCACAGGTCTCACAGGACTGGAGCTTAGAGACAAAACTGACAAGGAAAGTTCAGGTAAAACTTGAAACCCTGGGGCCTTTGCAACATTAATGCTTGAACTTCTCTGATTTTGTGTTTCTGCAGGTGCGGGGAGAAATGCTGGCAGGACAGGAGTCTGCATCTCCCCAGCCCTGGGGCTGTGGACTGCTGCAGATGGGCAAGGAGGGCGTCCTGGTGCTAACCTTGTTTTGTGCATCTGCAGTACGGGCCATCGGGTCCCTCCACASTGCTCCTGCCTTAGTGCACCTGCAAAATGTCATCAGCCTGCGCTCCGATTAAGCTGAGATCTGCCAGGTAACACACATTACTCTCTGAGATTTGCTTCTGACTAGCTTTCCTAAAATCCTTCCAGCAAGTCAGCGTTTGCTGACATGGAAATGGGGAGGTAGAGTTGGTGCTTCCCTKTGCACAGGCTTGTAGAAGTAGGGACATCATCCTACTGAAGCTCTCAAAAATCCTCAGAAATGACTTCCTCGCAAATGTCCTTTATATTTAAGTCTCTGAGTGTTTGTGGTTTTCCAAGCATTTTTGACCACATAAATGATTACAGTGAAAAGAGATTCCTATTGGCAGCACGAATCACTTTTTCAAGATGACACCAGCACTTACAGTCTTATTACCATCATTAACAAGATTATTATTATGACATTGCCATGCTTTCCCTCCTTTTAAAGAAGCAATTCAAATCCAAGTAGTSTAGCTTAAAAATATCACATCCTCATTTTCCTCTAATCAAAAAGAAAAGGGGTCATGCCAGCCCTTCTGGGTATTAGAAGAGTGTCTTTTGACAGAGGTGCTTGTGCTGTGTTGCAGGTATGCCAGGCGTGCTTCACAGGGCTGCATTTTCCTGGTTGCACATCTGCTGAGTTCGGGCATGGCTCACAGAGCAGCAGCAGCAATCTCCAGTCCAGTCTCCCTTCCCCAGCCTGTGAGCGTCAGCGGCCTGCGGAGCTGCACGCGGGTTGCTCGAAGGAGTCCAGATGCTCCTTGAGTCCGTGGTCCCGGTGCCAGTGAAGGCCAGGGCACATCACCCTGCTCGCCCATGGGACAGGGGACRTGGCTTGCTGAGGTGACTTGGTGCGTGGCCTGCCTCCTGCCCTGACTTGCTCTGCGTGCTTTGGCTGGCTGGGTCTGCAGTGTGGGGCCTGGCAGCCAGGCTCGGCAGCTGGGGGTAGCAGCACATCTAAATTGCCACTGCTCTCTAGAAAGGCAACACTCAGATGTTGTCTAATTATCACCCTAAGTGACTTGGCCAAAGGATCTGAAGGTGGTCCAAGGAACTGAACTCAATGCCTAGTTTAAAATCCCAACCAAAAGAGCATCTCTCCTTTTTACCCTGCCTTTGGAGCACCAACAGGCCCATCCATCTAACAGGCGACATTTTTGGCCACCCTTAAATTAGAAGCCATCCAGTAAACAGGGAATTGACAGGGCGTTTGTCACAGCTGGGCCTGTCCTCACCAGCCTGAAGGTAGCTGGATGATAGGATACACAGGAGAGGACACATTGTTCCTCTTCTTGGCCATTACGGCTTTACAAATGACTATTCCAAGCTTAGTTCCAAAATGGTGTCATGGCTTTCGCTGCTGTCATCAATTGCCATCAACACTGCATTTAGCTGACATAATTACTTATTGTTACAATCAGTGCCCATTAGGTTAAAGCTAAATTACAGTCTCAGTCCTTGGGAACTGCCTATTACATCCATATGAATACGCAAAGTTCATCACTCATGATTAACGTTGCTACAGTGAATACAAAAGGAATTAGTGAGGACCTGTCACTTATTGTAAAGTGCTGCCAGATTATGGTATCAGAAATGATGTGTCAACTGTTAAAACTTAATAATCCATGCTGGAGTGCTGTATCTGATTATAACACTGATCAAAGGAGAGGCCTGATTGGCAGTTAAAACCCTAGGCTGGATGATTATGAGACCAATAACCTACATGGGTCAGGAGTCGTTGACCAAAGCAAGAGCTCATGGCCTGGAAGCCAAGGAGAGGATGGGCCCACGTGCCAAGGGCAACCCCAGGGGCAGCAAGGGACTGGTGGCCCAGGCATGTGTGCCTGGGAGCTGCTGGGGTGGAGAGGCCGGTCTCTGGCCTTGGAGGCCCACGTGTGAGCCAGGAGGGTGGACGTGGCTCCCGAGGCCTTGGTTGGGCAGAAGGGAGACAGGAGAGAGCCTGGGCTGGATGGTAGAGTCCCCGGGACTCAGGAATCTCCTCGTTTGGCTATAGCACTGCAGTTTTTCTTTCCCTTATTAACTTTAAGTTTTTAACTTTCAGAAATTCCTTGTCTAGGGTGGTACAATGGACTTGGTGCTCTGTCTTTTTCAGTCTTAAGTCAAAGAGATTTCAAACTAGACTAAATTAGTACAAATTATTTTTACAAGCCCTCTTCTTCCGTGGGCACGCTATAAGTGAACATAAAGACCTGCTACTGCACACTGTTAATTAAGTCCTCCTGGGAAGAGGATGTCAGCCAGGTTGGAGTGCATGAGTTTGGTGGATGTTGGATAGCTGTACATCTGCTCTAGCCCATGTTAACCTGCAGACACAAACTCTGGCAGAGCCAAGGGGCAGCATGGCCACATACCTCTGAGTTGCATGCCAAAAATCTCCACGTGTTCTCTTCCTCACAGGCCTGTGTTTTTGCTAGTGGTTTTTGGTTGTTTATGTTTACTAATGGTTATGACTAGATCTTTGACAGAATTCTCRCTGTATCATAGTGGCACATTTACACTAGTTTCAGCTTCTGGGCAGAGTCTTGCTTCTCAAGCAGTTGTGAATTGTTGGTCAAAGGTTTCTGGATACTTTGGGCAATTTCTGACAAGTGAATTGGTTTCTGTGGCTGATGGGATTGTAGAGCACTAGTAGATGGGACCGATTTTGTTTTCCTTGTCTAGGGACTTTCCTTTCCTTTGTTTTCCCTTGTCTAGGGACTGGATGTCCCTAGCTACTGGATAGTCAAAGTTACTTGGACACATGAGGTAGAGGTCTGAACCGCTGTCTGCAGCTGGATTAACCGAYGTGTGAGAGCTGCAGATGGCCCTTCTGCTTCCATTGGGTTTAGTCTGTGATCTCTGGTGTGGGGAAGGACTTCTTACTCTGTAGCTCCTGTATCTTTGCAGGACCTTTTAGAAGTGAGTTGTAAAACTTGCTATTTTACAGGTCGTTTCTGGAGAGAGAGCACAAGCCTGTTGGCAGGGCGGTGTTTCACCTCGGAGCTTCTCTAGGAAGCCGAGTTACCTCCTTCTCCTTTTATTTACTCTCTAATTTATCAGTGGACTCGAGCACCGTCTTTGGTCTCTGAGAAGGGTTCATCTTTATTCACTTCAGCAGGTATCTCCCTAACACCCTCTCTGCTGAAACCTGATGCAACATAATCACTTAGTCTCACCAGTGCTTCTCTGGAGAAAGAAAGAGCARGTCCATTGGTTCCAGGGGAAGCTGAACAATTTTGTAGTGATAACAATATAATTTATCACGAATCGCTACGAATCTACCCTGAGTAGAGCAACTCGCTACTGGTTTTCAGACCAGTTGTTCATTTCTGTCCTTTCAGGCCCTGCCTGTGCTCAGAAGCAGCAATACTGAAATCCTCTTAAGAAAAGCTGTTCTCTAAAAATCCCTGGCCCTAGAGGGGACAAGGGTAAATCCATTGGCTAGCAGTTGGAATGTCCTTGCTTAAGACATCTCTGCCATGATATCTGATAGAAAATAAGCCAGTGCTTATCATAGCCATGCACGCGCAGGGCTGGAGAAGCCATCAAGGGGTGTACTGGTCCATTCAATTTTYTTTACCCAGAGTGTGCACATTCCCTGTAAAGCCATAGGGGTTTGCAAATGAGATGAGCTTGAAGACCCTGATAGCCATATTGGCGCTGCCAGCTGGGTGCTTGTCATGCTTGCAAATCCTGCAGGCCGTGCGTGCCCCGGGCTGCCTCTCGCTGCCTTGCTGTGCCCACCACCAGCAACTTTTTCCTGCAAGTTAATGTGAGATTTCCCGGCGGTAGTTTGAGCTGTGCCTTCGTGTGCCTTCTGCTGCTGGCAGGGAGGAAAGCCCGTGGCTTATCTGAGGGCTGTCGCATGTCCCCCCTCGCTCTTTCATTGTGTTGCTCAGATCTCCGGGCAGCCTCAGCTCTCTCCTCCAGGCTGTCCCCGGACTGCGCTTCGTTTGATGCTCAGGGCCCGTGTGCTGCAGCTCAGACCATGSCAGTGCAGGGCACAGGACAGATTATTCCACCTCTGTGCCCTATTGGCCTTTTCCATACCCAACTGWTTCACCTTTGGCCCTGGTCCAGTGCAGCTGCTACTGTTCTTACTCCACATCCTCTTGTCTTTTATCTGTCTAAAATACCTTTTATGCTCTGGCCTTTGCCCATACTGTGGAGCTTGTGGACTGCCAAGGGAGGAAATTTTACCCTCTCTCTCTTCAATAGCACCCTAGGTTTTGGTGACAATGTCTTCACTTCTTCTGTTCCCCACTCTGCCTCATGCTAGGTCCGATAGGCATCATGCAGATTGTCCTCTACAATGTAGAGGCCTCTACGATTGTCCTCTACAATGTTTAAAAGRCCTTATAGCAGTACCAAGGACCAAAAACACAGCCCACAAAACTGAAAGGTTCAGACAAGCTTTGAGTACTTTTTCCACAAGATATTTCACTTTCTCTAGTTTTATCTTCTTTGATTGTCTAAGTGCAATGGCCAGCAAAATATTTTCTCTTCTACCACAACTCTTAACAAAGTAAATAACGTTTGCACCAAGATGTCTCTTAAAGCATCTTTGGTTTGGACCTGTAAACAAGACTTCCCAAGTCCAGCCGTGCTCTAGTTCTACTGATATATTTAGTCTCTGGAAAAAGTAATGAAACACTTGAGCCAAACAAAACACTTTCAAGGGCCCAAACTGCAATATGTTGTTTCCATTGCGAGTCACTTTAAGCATCTTTATAATTTGAACCATAAAATGAAGGTATAACTGACCAGTCACTGCAAATGGAAATGTTTCTTTCTAAAACATTCAGTGAAATATTTCATTTTTCCTCAGTGTTTCCTGTTTGCTGGCAGGTTTGGAGGTGAGCAATTCATTGAGATGAAGTTGTGCAAAGTTGGCTCCTGCTGAATTAGCATTTTTTTTTTCCAGAGGAGAGAGGTTTAGAGTGAARAATGATGCCACGTCTCATCATTGGGAGCTTCTTGCCCCCTGCCAGGCCCTCACGTSCCGTGAGGAAGCGCAGGTCTGCCATGCCTCAGCTCTTCCATCCAGCGAAGCGCTCAGGTGGCAGCTCCCCTTGTCCTCGCTCTGGACACAGGTTTATAGCTCCAGCTCCTCTTCCCAGTGCATCATCAACATGTTGTTTCCAGGGTCATAAATCTGCGCTGTGATGAGACACAACCAGATGTTCCAGTACGTGAAGCGACTGGCGAAGCAGGCTGCCTGGCGCAGCCCCGGCCCCGCGCGGCCGCCGCCCGCTAATGAGAAGCAGGGCTCACGCGTCGCGCCGGGCCAGGACAGACGGAGAGCGTCCCCAGGAACAACTGCAGAGCTGCCAGCTTGACCCCGTTCCTGCTCTCGGTGCCCAGGGAGCATCCCAGGGGCTGGATTCGGTCACTTTGGTGGCTACCAGCTTCTGGCGACCATCTGGAAAGCTGGTTTGGCCTGGTGTGGGAGGTATGCCCAGGGCTGCAGCCCCTCCTGGTCGCAAGGAAGCCAGTTGCTCACTCTGTGATGCTCTCTTCTGAAAATTCTTCTGAGATGCACATTTTGGATGGTATGTGTGGCTGAACCAGCTACTTTTAGTGGAGCTTCCCATGGAAAAGTGAGGTCTTAGCTAAACTTGTTGAACTGGTACCCTGTGCTAGGAGTTAGTGTTGACTTCTGCTACCCATTACTTGACTGACCACAATAGGCAGGTGCCTCCAGCCCATGTGTCCCAGTAGGCTTCAGATGCCCCTGCATCCTCTGTGCTCCTCCTCTGTGTCTTGCTGGTGTAGGTGCTAGATTGTGAGGGTGACACAGACGAGCTGCTCGGTCGGTGCCATGTGGTGACACTGCTGGCCAGACTCCACGAGGACTGGCTCGTGCTGGCGAAAGCCATGCTGAAAAACAGGTCAAATGCCGCTCATGGGGAACATGACCCTCATGGGGCTGCAAGGGCCTTCAGACAGCTGCAGTTTCCAGCCGATGTGCTCCAGGCATGACATGCTCCTGCTGCATCCTGAGTCCACAAGTTCCATGGCGTGTGCTCACTGGGTGATTTTTTTTTTAGAGCACACACTAAGCAAAAAGGGATATTGACCCTAGGTACAGTCACGGGTACTGCTGTGCTCTGATTGTTCCTTGCCTTGGTCTCTTCCTTGTATTGCTGTCTTAGAAATCCCTGGATCTCCCTGCTGTCCTTAAGTAAGACTGATCCCTGTGTAGAGCGGGCATGACTTGGTCTACTCTACTGTGGCATTAGGTGAGTCTAGGCTGGTTCTAAGCTGAAAGGTTGTCCAACTTGGGATCTGGTTCTATAACCACTTCTCTTTGCTCTTCTCCTCTCTAGGTGGCTCTGGTGGTACCTCCTTGCAGATCTGCGTACACACTCCCAGCACTGGGGGATGTACCGGGTGAGTACCCAGTTTAAGGCCATCAGCTTAGCTGCAGTCCTGCCACCTCTCTCTCAGGCTCACAGAAGGACAGGGCCTTTAGTGTGTGYACCCCTGTAGCTCAGGCCATGCCCACCTGAAGGTCTGGAGAAGAGAGGTGTTGATTGTGGGTCAGGCAATGGGTCAAAACTCTCTTCCAGGTGAGATGCATGCAACATGAAAAACAAGGGTGTATTTTTCCTCTCTCCTTTTAGCCTCCATATAAATATATTGATAAAGTATTTGAACTGAAGGAGCATGTTGATTCCAGACCCGAGGGCTTACATATTGGTTAGGACATCTGGAGGAACATTTCTTACTCAGACATTTGGGAATATCCTCCAAACTGGAAAAGGAGGAGATGGAGTTTGGTAAGTTCTTGGAGGGGAAAAATACTGTTCCCCACAGCTGCAAGCATCCCTTCCAGCCCAGGGTCCCATAGATGGAAATCCAGCTGTCCTGAAGAGCTTGGCCACGGAGCCTAAATGATTTTTGCAAGAGCAYGCAGGAGATGGGGCATCAAGCATTTCTTGGGCACATTCTCACTGCTCCTTACCAGTGACTTCAGAGGGAGAGAGAGCATCTGTGCTCTGCCTGGCCTCCCTGCAAGAGCATCCCATGTCCTGGCCATTTGCCATAGAGCCCTTGGCCCGCTTGCCCTCTGGCTATGGAGCTTTTCCCCCACTGCTTAGGAGAYGGCAACCCTTCCTGTTGGAAGGCCAGCTGAAATGGGACCGCCTGCCAGCTGTTCTTGTCTGGTGCCCACCGCAGCTTCCCTGCAGCAGCAACTTGTGAGTGCACCTCGCAGCCCCGGCCGTGTCGGGGGGAGCAGGGGATGCCCCGTTACACGGGGTGAGGAGCCCTCTGCCTCCCCGYTGCGCTGCCAAGCGTCCGCTCCGCTGTGCAGCACGCGCTGGAGGCAGCTTGGGTTAAAAGGGGTTAACAGCGCTCTGCTGTAACACATGATTGGTCTTTATGAGGTTGAAACTCTTGTCTGTTTGAGGCCTACAGATGATGCTAAAGAGCACAATAATGACAGCAATTCAAAGCAATCTAATTATGCAAACGGGAGGCTAAACAATTTCATCATCCTTAAATTAGATTGTCCTAATGAGATAAAGACACCAATTAATCCTGAATTAATTTCAATAGCCTATTTCAGGCAAACACTTTAATATGCAAATGTAAATGAGAAACAAAGCCTACTGTAGAATGCCAGAGTTCAGAACCTCTCTCTGCACAGCTGCAGCGGGTGTAAATAGTGTCTAATGAGTTTGCATGGAAAGACACAACCAGTTGAAAATTTTAGACTTCATAAAGCACAGCCGGTGCCTCAGGTACATTGCGGAGCGGGGGAAGAGGGAGGAATCAATCCGCTGACGCCAGGAAGCCGCTCAGCCGCTCTCCGCACACGCGCACAGGATGGGCCCAGCCGACTCCGCTGCGGGATGAGGAGCTGTAACAAGATGCTGCTCCGCAAAGCCAAACGGTTCACGCTGAGTACCTGGCCAGTCGCCTTTCTAGGACACAGAGATGATTTTAATTAGCTGTTGCATAATTGTTTTAAATTAGCCATTTTCCTCTGTGCTCAAAAAAAAAAAAAAAAAAAAAAAAAAAAAAAAAAAACAAAAACAAAAACCCACACTCCCAGGTTTTTCTGCTAGGCGCTTGGAAGGGAAAAGGGCAGAGTCTGAGATTTAATAAAACAGCCCTCCTAGTTTCTCTCATCTTGTTCCTCCTCTGTAACAAAGTGCCCCAAGCATTTGCTTTATTTGCTTTGAGCTGTCTTAGAAACGAGCCCCAGTTCCAAGGACCGGGCTGAGGTCTGAGTTCGACCTTGCACCTTTGTTGAATTATGGGCACTGCTCAAGGGCCTTGCRAAGGTGGCTGAGGGGAATCATAGCACTGATGGTCAGGCTCAGGTGTGAGTTACTCCTGCTACTATGTCTGCTTTCAACAGGTCCCAGAAATATGCGCCGGAGGAAGCCATGGAGAAAAAAAAAAAACAACAGGAACAACCCATCCACAGAGTGAACATCCTGAGGATAATTTACCCTCTTTTCCTTCTCTTGTTAACTGTATCATGGGCTGCTCTTAGCAAATTTCTCACGCTGAGGTTGTCTCAGTGAGCGGAGTGCGAGGCTGAGGTAAGTCCAGAGGTATTGCGGAAGTTTGGGAACATAGGAGAGCATAAGGGGTTGACCTCTACCAAGAGGATGCCTTGTTTCCTCCCTGCCTGTGCTCTGAAGGAAATTAGCTCTTTGTTTTGACCCAGAGCGGTTTTCACACTGAGCTGTTTGAGGGAGCAACACAAAGTGTGAATTCCCAGGCCATGGCAAGGTCCTGTGCTCTTCATATCGCTTCTTGGAGAGGGGTTTGTGGCACCAAAAGCATTGCTGCTGTTTTTTGCTTTTCTTCCTGCTTTGCTTAGGAGGGGATTGTGAATCACCATCAGGAATTTAGGCACTTCCAGTGGGAAATCTTGAGTAACCGTCTTTTGTGCAACAAGGCATTTAATCCTTGCAGGGTGGACCACTAACATCCTTTTCCATTTCTCTGGCCTTAATGGGCATGGTGGTTTACTGACAGATGAATTGAGACAGTGAAAGGGCTGATGGCCCAGAGCTCACAGCGTGCCAGCAGATCTGGAGATCTTCTATCACACATGTTTGTCCTTGGAAAAAAGACAATTGACTCAGTAAATCGCTTTATCTCTGGCCTGCTGGGTACAAACACGGCCTTTTCCGCCGGAGCCCTGGAGATTTTTCAAAAGCATTCAGCCCTCCTTGGACTCTGCTCCGCTGCCCTCAGCGGGCAGTGCTGACTCTGACTCCTCTGGAGGTGCCAAGCTGGGGACAGGCATCTGGGGTGCAGCTTGCAGCCAACTTCAGGCCAGACCAGCAAATCTCTCCAATCAAACCCTGACCTGGCACACTGGGCTGGCAGCAGGTCTGGGAGCCGGGGCCAGCGCAGGGATTTGATGACTCTCTGAGAGGAGGCACTGGGCCATCCTTCTGCACCACGCTGAGAGCAAGGGGGCCTGGGCAGCCACTGGTACCTGGGACCGAGCAAAGGGGGCAGATGTGGGGCAAGCCCAGGGTGGCCAAGTCTTCAGTCATTGCCTCCAAAGGAGGCTGCCAGATTGTTGGCTATGACTGCAGCTTCCTCTTAATTAATACTAGATCCACACGCAATCCTGCCACCCCATGGGATGAACTGGGTCTGAATTGGGGTGAGCACATGATCACGTTTTTGCCAAATTACCCAGCTCATAAAATAYGGTATGCTGGCTTCCTGCCAGCAGTGGGAGTGCAAAACAACGCCTGATTCAGCAGAAAAATCTTCCTGGCCCCTTTGGAGATCTTGTGAAGCAGCAGAAAGGGTTTATACGTGTGCAGTGCCTTGCATTGTTTTCAGTCTTGAACATAGTGCCATAAAGAYGGGATTTACTGTCTGGAGGAAGCATGACCAGGAGAGCACAGCCTCTCATGCCAGTGCAGTTTAAACTAGACATGGGGAGGAGGCCAAACGCAAGTCCTCCCAACTTCAGAGCCAGTCATGAGCTTCGTTGCTTGGATCCATCTTTTGTTTAAAGCCAGGGATCCCTGGAGAAGCTAGGCATGCTTCTGAGATCCGTAAATGGGGACTCTAAGTCATGTTCTATTTAAAGGGCTCTARCAGTCAGTCAGGGGACTTGTAAAAATGTTACCACAGGGTCTCCTATTTATTCTCGCGCACTCTGTGCTCTGCTCGCACATTAAAAGATGGTATTTTTTTTAGCTGCCAGTRCTTGGTGTCTGACAAATCCAGCTGTTTTCTTTCCCCCTCTGAAATCATGACATTTATAATCAGCGCTTAGTGGAAAGCCATGAGTGCTCTGAGCTGGTCTTTGGGGAGGCAGGGTGGGCTGGCGGGCAGGACCCCGTGGGGCGCGCGGCCTCCGCATCCTGCCTCCTCACTGCGCATTTGGACTCGCCCCACAGGGCTCCCGCTGGGTCCCCAAGGATGTCCCCATAGCAGTGAGGACATCTGACCAGAGCATCCCCCAAAGCCTCCCAGATAGGCTGCCGAGGAAGAGGGGCCGTGCCCAGCTAGCACGGGAGGTGCAGCAAGCATTGGGGCTGGGGAGGAAGGCAGCGAGGATGTGCGAGTGGGCTCGGAGGAAGCAACGCGGCAGCAGGTTGTTACTGATGAGCCGTCCAGGGCGCGTCGGAGAATCTGCATAAAATATTCCTTGTGAAGCTCGGGTAGCTGGTTGCAGCCCAGATAAGAGTCTGACAGTCGCCGAGGAAGGATGCCTTTAACCTTCACAAAACAGAGAGGACGGGAGAGAAATGAGCCAGGCAGTGGTGTCATGAAAATTACAGCCTCAGCGATTTGGATGCATTTCATTCTGCGGTGCGGTTTTGTGCAGCGAAGGGAAAATGAACAAAATGTGGGGAGGAAGCTGCCTGGAGGTCCGGGGGGTGCATTCCTGTTGGAGCTGTGGAAGTGGCCTGTGCTCACTGTGGAGAACTTTGCACAAGTTTGTGCCTGGTGAACCTGGAGAGCTGGTGAGAGCATTGCTGTGGGCGGCTCAGTAGTGTGGGACTTAATGACTGGGTGACATGATTTCTCTTGTGGAGATGCAGAAGGGACCATGCGTTGGCTTATGTGCTTATGGTTCAACTTCTTCCTGGAGATGTCCATCAAATCTGGTCTGCAAAGGGATCGTGTGATTCCTGGCAGCCCTCCTGAGTGCGTTTGTCACTTGGGTTGGCTACAGGACCTTCTGGGGCCTCCCCGGATGGGAGAGGTGCCTGTTTGCATGGAGATCTAGTGCAAGGAGACTGGAGAGACCTGGGGAGCAGTACCACCTSTCAGCTTCTCATCACACTTCCTATTGGGTCCCCGTTATTCAGCCCTCTAGTTGCCTTCAGCATCTGACTGTTTTGTACCCATCTCCAACATGACCGTTTTGTTCCTGGGAGGCAAACTTTGAAACCCAATGTGACTTTTTGAAGGCTTTATTTATTTATTTATTTATTTATTTATTTATTTATTTATTCTGTGTAGCTGTGGAGAGCAGTGCTGAGCTGGAGGAAGGAGAGCAAAGTATTTTTATAGCCAAATTGCCTGTGCTTGGATGATTATGGTGGGGGATGCGAGGAGATAGCCTTACCTAATCTGGGTTTGGTGGAATGGGGAACTCAGRACAGAATTTGGGAATCCCCATTTCGTTGTGATTTTTAGTGCAAACAAYGATCTTTTCCTTGCAGCAAAAGCTTTTGCTGGGTTTGTCATGTCAAGGTAACTTGACAACCAGTATGGGATGCCCTTAAGATACTGCCAAAGGCTAAGGGCCATTTCAGCCTTCCCGTCTTGTTTCGRTTGCCAAACCATGTAATTGACCCATATCACAGAGGAAAAAAACTGCCCATTGATGGCAGCCTTTGCAACTCTCACAGCCTCATCATGAACTATTTGGGGGGAAATGGGGATATTTTTAGCCACAACTTTTAAGCCAGACTTTTCCTGAAGAATCTTGAATGGAGCACACCTGGCTGTCCACAGGTGGGTGCTTCCCACCAGTGCTGGTGGAAGTCAGTGCTTCAGAGACCATCTTGTGGCACTTGGAGCCACCAAATAAATAAATAAGAGATGAGAATCAGCCTTCAGCTGGAATGGAAATAAAGTTGATGAAAGGACAAATGTTTTCTCTTCTGCCTTGAGGTTAGAAAACAGCAGGAAATCCTTGCTTGCAGAAAAGGCACATGGCCAGCAGCATGACTTGTGCAGTTTTTGCTGCCTTGAAGTAAGTCTGGAAACAGAGTGTTGTGGTGGATAAAATTTCATAGACTTTCCATGCTTTCTCACTGCTGCTTTTCTCTTGCCTGCCTTGCAGCATGGGCTGAATTTTTGTCATATTTGCACTAACTTGAAAGGCTCTATTAATGCAATTGACACCATGAGCCTTCGTGAAGCAAGCAGTGGTTTATGTTGCCTGTTCTTATGCATGTGTGCAACTTTCTGCTGGTGTTAGGTGGTTGGGGAGAAGACCCATGTGACAAGGAGGAGACCTGGAGCTGCTCTTTTCATTTCAGCAGTGTTCTGGCCCCTAGGGCTGTGGCCAAACGAGACTTACAATGGGGCACCCTTGACTCCCATGGGGCCTGGAGCTGCAGAGACATTTCCAACCCATCTGAAGGTCTCAAATCCAGGTGTACAGCAGCAGCAGATTGAGGAGCTGTTCTTCAACTTCATCCTGCACAGCAGGTAGTTGGGCACCGGAATCCCTGCATGGTACTCTGTGCCATAATCCTCCCAATGCAACATTTTCCCACTTTTTCCATAGGATAGGAAAGGGATATCCTTGCCTCAGGCTATCCCTATCCTGAGCTAGCTGCCTGCCCACCACTGCAGTTTACAGATGAGGAATGTTTTTGGCACCACTGCACTTGTTCTTCCTACATCAGCTGTTCCAGTCCCTGCTCTGGTCTCTGTAGACAACTGATTGATGGTAAAAAGGTTGGAGGCAGAGCAAGTCCTCCTCCCGTTGTCCTCTTTGTGTCGCTCATAATGCTGGCACCCAGGTACTGTTGACTGGCATTTGCCAAATCTCAAGCATCCAACCCCACAAAGTCTTTACGAAGTAAATGATCCCATAACTGCTAAACCCACAGCCTGCTAAACTAGCTTTGCCTTTCTAGCTTATTAATAAGCATCTTTCCTGGGTAACCAAGATGTATTGAGTTGGGACTCCCCAGTGCGAGCAACCAGAGATAGCTTTGACTTTTCCTTTTTTTAATTTACCTTGTGGGGCTGTGGGAAATGAGCAATCCTTCTGGCTGTCAATATTGCCAGCAGTGGTACCATCGCCATGACAAGAAAGGGAGGACCGGTGGGGAGATGGAGAAATGAGGCACCCCGGGACCAGCGTCTCAGCCTGACGCCCAACCAGAGCTGACATGTCCGTCGTGACAAGACTAGAGCCAACAGTATCCTTGCAAATCCCAGAAAATAAGTCTTTTGCTTGAGCTCTTTCCCCTTCCCAACTTTCCCAAGCAGATTCCTCCTTTTCTTTATTCTTTCTGAGCAATTATCATTACTTTGCAGATGCAGATATCTTTATCTCAGATATCTTGCCGRTATCTTTATCTCAGCTACT